TGTTTGTGTGTGTATGTGTGTGTTTGTGTGTGTGTGTGTTTTTGTGTGTGTGTTTGTGTGTGTGTGTGTGTGTGTGTGTGTGTGCCTGCTTGAATGTGTGAAACATAAAAGAAACACGCCAGCTACCTGTGGATTGACTGGGCTGGAGTGAGCTCGCGGACGATGCCCCAGCAGTATCTGGCGTAGAACTGACGTCAATAGAAGACGTCATCTCCACTGTTGACGTCGGCGTGGTTTCTATGGACGACGAGGAAGCATCAACTGACGAGGAGGAGGTCGCGAGAGATGACGTCAACTCTGCCGACGATGATGACATAACAACAGTGGAAGAGCCAGCCAGAGAAGAAGACTGCGCCGCAGAAGAAAGCACAGCCGCGGATGACATCAGCGCCGAAGAGGACGAGCCGGCCACATAGGAAGATGACAACACGATCACAGATGTCGTCAAGGTTACAAATGACGACCCGGTCACAGAGGAGGAGGACTCCGTGACGGATGACGACACAATCACAGATGACGTCACGGGCACGGATGACGTCAAAGCTACAGATGTCAACTCGAGTACAGACGAGGACTCTGCGACAGACGATGAAACAGTAACAGAGGAAGAGTCCGTGAGGGATGACGACACAATCATAGATGACGTCAAATCTGCAGATGTCGACTCGAGCACAGACGAGGACTCTGCGACAGACGATGAAACAGTTACAAATGACGTCACGAGTACAGACGACGATCCAGTCACAGAGGAGGACTCTGCAACGGATGAAGTCACGACCACGTGTGACGTCATAGGTACATATGACGTCAACATTACAAACAGAGACTCTGTGATAGAAGACAACGCGCCCACGGATGACGTCACTGTTACAAATGACGACCCAGCCACAGAGAAAGTTCCCGTGAGGGATGACGACACAATCACGGATGACGTCAAATCTGCAGATGTCGACTCGAGCACAGACGAGGACTCTGCGACAGACGATGAAACAGTTACAAATGACGTCACGAGTACAGACGACGATCCGGCCACAGAGGAGGACTCTGCAACGGATGAAGCCACGACCACATGTGACGTCATAAGTACAGACGATGTTACAAATACAACAGAACTCTCTGTGATGATCGACAATGTGTTCGCAGCAGACTCCAAGGTAACAAATGACGACCCACCAACAGAGTAAAACTCTGTGATGGAGGACGGCACAAGCACAAATGATGCCTCGAGTACGGATGACGTCAACAATACGGGTGAAGACTCGAGAGCAGCAGAAGGCTCTGTAACGGATGACGTCACAATCACATAAGACGTCATAGGCATATATGACGTCACAAATACAAGTGTGAGAGATGGCTGTACGCCCACGGATGACGTCACAATTACAAATGAAGACCCAGCCACAGAGATAGACTCTGTGATGAGGGACGACACAGTAACAAGGGACGTCACAGGTGCAAATGACGTCATACGTGCAGACGAAGTCAAAGGTACGGTTGAAAATACAAACATATGTGAGGAAGCGTGGTGGAATCAGGCTCTCGTCAAAAAAATCAAAGTGAAGAAACTTGCATGTTTCCACAGGTTTCTGAATTTTTATCAAATTTTTGTTGTTTGGCTCAACACCTGTCATGCCCATTAAAAAACTAATTTAGGTGTGGATTTTTCTGAAAAACGTTGAGTAAAGGCATAAAAATGTAAATGTTCAGTTACCACAGTTTCTAAAGCTAAGGAAATAAGTAATCTTTGGCAGCCATTTTCTCACTTATTTTACCTCTGAAAACAGGTGACCCCACCTCCTTCATTTGCAAATATCTCGACTTGTATTCAAGATAAATGGATATTTTTTTTCATCCAAATAAAGAGAAGTGAACAAGCTTTAAGATGATACCAATAACTCTACATGGCCAAAAATTGACGAGAGCCTGATTCCCCCACGCTGCCTCACATATAGGAAGAGCCTGAGATAGACGACACGAAAAATTCATAATATGACCAAACATACGCAGACGAAGAATGCGCCGCAGACACAGGTGGGGCGTTCATCATAAACGATGACGTGTGCACATGTAGTGTGTGTCACGACGTGGAGGAATCAGGCGCTCGTCAATTGTTGGGTATGTGGAGTTATTGGTATCACCTGAAAGCTTTTTCATTTGCCTTGCTTTCAGTGAAAAAAATATCCATCTGGTTTGAATAGAAGTCGAGATATTTGCAATTGAAGAAGGTGGGGTAGCCTGGTTTCTGTGGTTAAATTAATGAGAAAATGGCCGCCAAAGTTTGGTAACTTCAATAGCTTAAGAATCCTTGAAGACTGAAAATTACATATTCTGTACCCTTAAACAAGGTTTTTCAGTAAAATTCAGACGGAAATGTGTTTTCTTATGAACATAAAAGGTATTTAGCCAAAAAACCAAATTTCGATAAAAATTGCACAACAGGTGGAAAAATGCATTTTTCTTCGATTTTATTATTTTGACGAGAGCCTGATTTCACCACGATGCCTCACATATGACCAAACATACACAGACGAAAAATGTGCCGCAGACACAGATGGGGCGTTCATCATAAACGATGACGTGTGCACATGTAGTGTGTGTCACGACGTGGGGGAATCAGGCGCTCGTCATTTCTTGGGCATGTGGAGTTCTTGGTTTTATCTACTAGTTCTGTTTAGTTTAGTAGTATAGGGTTTTACGGCGCTTGCAACTTCTATCAGCTCGTTCATTTGCCCTGCTGTTTCGGTGTATTTATACTACCCATCTATCTTGAACTGAAGTCGAGATATTTTGCGATAAAAAGTGGTGGGGGTCTTTTTTCTTTTACTGCTGTTTGTTTTTGTATGTGTTTTACGGCGCTCGCAACTGCATAAGGTCATATGAGCGCGCAGGACACATTAAACTTTTTCAGTTGGTAGGAAATTTAGAATTTTGCCCGGGTGGCGGCCGAAGCCTACTCCTATCGATTTTAGACCATCAAGGGATCTTTAACGTGCGCAACTTGCACACGGGCCCTCCGAGCCAAGAAGTAGCAGTAGAAAGGTTGTAGAAAGAATCAGGAGCCCAGAGGAGGGGGGCAAAGGAGATGAGGGAGTGGGGGCAGAAAGAGGAGACGAGAGCAGATGACAGAACATTGCTAGAGAGCAGGAAAGGAGGTGAAAGAAGACACATTTAGAGAAGAAAATTGTTCGGTCACTACCGGATTCGAACCTGGGACCTTTGAATGAGAGGCCAACACCTTAACCTCTAGGCCACGAGAGCCCCCTGGTGGGGGTCACCTGGTTACAGAGGTACAATTAGTGATCAAAAGGCCGCCAAGTTTGGTAGCTTTTATAACTTAATAATTCTCGAAAACTGAAGATTCTCATATTGTATGCAATTTATCAACGTTTTACAGCAACACTCACCTGGAAATGTGTTTTTATATGGACTAACATGGTGTTGAGCCAAAAAAAACAACAACTAAAGTTTGATATAAATTGCCAAACTGGAGAAAAAATGCCTCTTTCTTCGATTTCGTTATTCTGACGAGCGCCTGATTTAATCACGAAGCCTCACAAATAACAACCCTGACACAGAGAAAGACACTTCTACATACGTCATAGCCACAGACGAAGACATACGTTTGGATGGGGAACCATCCACAATTGAAGACGAGACGGCCAAAGAGGAAGAATATTTTGGAGCGGATTACCATTCAGCAACAAATAGAAAGACCAAGACAAAAACACAGACCCAATAAACAAACTTTCAAAATACGTTGTTACTACTTTTAGCAACAATAGAAAGCATGACGTCACGTCCACAGTTAGCGACTGTTTCTCCCTCCGTCACCTCTTTTATCCCGCTGCTCCCCCCTCCCCTCTATGTTCCATAGTTCTCACCTCTCTCAAACTGTTTTTTTCCCCGCCCCCCTCTCTCCCCGTCACCCCTCCTATCCCAGCAACTCCTCCCCTCACCCTGCTACCTCCTTTCACAACTTCCATCCCCCTTCGCCCCCTCCCTTACTCCTCCCCTTCACCCCTCCCATCCCCCTTCCACCCAATCACCAGTTCCATCCCCAACCTCTTCCCCCCCCTACCCACCTTCCCATCATCGCCACCTCACCTGACGCAGTACGCTACTTTATAATTACAAAGTTCCATCAGACATTTTTGGCCGTTTTGAGTTATTAAGGCCATAGATCTAGGTCAGAAAACTTAATGTTCTATCTGCTCTATCAAAGTCATAAGATTATTCTGGGTCTTTATCAAGATATTCAAAAAATTATATCAAAAAAAGATTGAAAAGTTGTGAAACTCAAAAATGTTCACGCCAAATCGCTCAAAACTAGGTACTGGTCGCGAGTAGTCCAGCGGTTCAACTGCCCCCTGCCTCTCTGGTATCCGCCAGGCTATCACTATGGCGCCACCATAGACCTGTATAATATAAAATAATATCAAAGGCCATGCATTCTGGCGTACTTCCGGTGTACCGTGGAGCCCACCATTTTAACATTGCTTGGAACCAAATGAAGGGAAATGCGGGAAAGCGTGCACGCACTCTGCTATATCGAGACTGGTGGTTTGTCTTCCAATTGCACGCCCATGGTGAGCATCAGCGCAGCAAAATTTTTATACACAGCAAAGAACCACGGCCATGACAGTGCCCGGTCTAGGATAATTCAAGTCTTTGGGCACCACTTTGTGGCTGTCGTCCACACCGGGAATGCGGGGAAGGGGAGAGGGGGGGGGGATGTCTTGTTGAAGGACATTTGACTTTGAACGCGGGTGGTTGGAGAGCTCAACTGGTGGGTCCTAACTCTGTTCTTTCCCACCGTTGTTGCTTTTTGTCTTTCTTTTTGCTTGCGCTGAATGGTCGTGTGACAAAACGTAAAACGGCAACGAGCGACCATTAGCACTGGCGGGTCATTGCACATCAACCTCTGAGCCAAAGATGATATCACCAGGGATCCAGGTAAATGCCTGATATGTTAATGTGCTTCTTTTTATCAAATTGTTTTTATAATTGCTTTGTGTTGGCTGGAGGGGTTTCAGGCCGCCTGTGATTCTTTACATTTCCTGTGCAGTGTCTCACTGCCTTTCGGATGTTTTCCGAACACTAATGGGTCGTTATCACGCTCATATGCTTCTCTGTAACCCGACAGATATTTTACTGTGTGTCATCATTAACCCCCC